CCCATCCAATGAGCGCGTATTTCTTGAGATGACTTCCGGTTCTAAACACTTTGACGAGAACTATATAAAGGTGAATGCCTTCAACTAACATCCAACAAAACATCGACATCATCGCATAATGAAGAAGAATGGCCACCGTTTTGCACATGACCTTTTTAAGAAAATGAGAAAAGAGAAAAAAACAATTTCAGTGAAAGAAAATATCTGTTTTATGGAAGAATAAGGTAAGAGAAACGAAAGTTATAACAACATATTTAACTAATTCTAAATGTTCTTATCATGATTATCATTGCTGTTCTTATAGACACGACGTTTCGACTAAGTACGCTTTCGCCATCTTCCGGTATTCATTATTTTGGTCGATATAGGATACCATACATGTTGATTTCTTTGTGAGGCACGTGTCGTAATGGATTGCGGCTCGGATTGAGGAATTGGAGAGCCGAGTTCAAATCCTAGTCGAATTCATTCACTCACGTGCTAATACCCATGGGAAAGGTATGAATTCATCTCTTCTCCCCCAGGCTATGGGTAAATAGCAGGATAGCCTGGGTTCTATAACCTTGAGTGGCAACCGGACTAGGAGAAAGAAAACCTTGAATTTAAACCAGCCTGGAGAGGGTCAGGCTATCTTGCACTACTTCTACTGCGGCTGCAGTAGATGTGGTGCCCCTACGACTAATGAGTTATCCTAGCATGTTGATTATTGTTGTGTCCTTAAAAAGGTTACAAACAGACAAAGGTGGTACTCGAGTGAAAGGAACGGCAACACGGGCGTAGATGAAAGAAAGAGAGGTTTATTGTAAAAGAGAATACACTACTGAAAGACAGGGCGTCGACTAACACTTCCCGAAGCCAGTCAAACAGACAGACTCTGGTATGTTCTGTGCACACTGTTGTTCATGATGACGGTCGTCTTTGAGTATAGAATCCAGAGGTTAGCAGTGAATATTTCGAAGACAGTAAGGAAGCGTAGTTCAGGTTAGCAGTGGATATCCTGGCAAAGTAGCAGAGCGTAGTTCTTCCTTCTGTTCCTCTTCGCCTGACAAGCTGGCACTGGACATTCGGATAGAGTGAACAAAATGGCCGCCTTTATACACGACGGATTGAAATTTACGTCTTCTGATTGGTTAACCTTCTATTGGTGGACTATAAAGTGAGTCAAGTCATTTGGGCTAGCTCACTAGTAACATGACGTATCCAAAAATTGTAACACACACTACATATATAACTGATACAGTCAGTCCACAATAGGTAATATGGAGAGTGGAACATTCCATTACAACAATTATTCTGTTACTTTCTGCCTATGACGTCATTTCTGCTGAACTAGATCATATTATTCCACTATAAGACTTGGATTGAGCTCAGCACTATATCTAGTACATACGATACTGAAAAAAAATGGTCGGTTCTAAGAGCCTATTCTCTTACAATTGCCAAATCAGGCCGAAAACGGAGAACTGCTGACATATAAGGGTAGAAGCTATCCAGTTTTCATTTTCCACCCTCGATAGAGTCTAAAAGTGTCTCCGAATCCTTGTGAGTGACGAATTATTTTCCACCCTTTTCTCACAGACGAGATATCACAAGCCTCTTGCTACTCTATCGCTATTTCCATGGTTAGTATTCAGATGAACTACACTCCATCAGTTCTAACTTTCAAGACTCGCCATGTCAAGTACATTTTAGAGAAACGCCTCCTTCCTTTCGTATTCCTTTTGTGAGATGTAAGTTCCACTCAAGCAACATCTTCCCATGTACCACTTCCTTGTGCAACCGATACCCAAGACACCACTACAGCCTTAACCTGTTTAAGCCTTCCACACATATCCCCAGATGCTGGTAAACCCCATCTAGTTCCTTGGAAATCGTAACTTTTTATGTCATGTCGTCCAGGAGTATATATAGGTACAGTGAAGAGAATGACAACGTATGGAAGATATGATTACGAAATCTAAACTTTCTCTTCGAAGGACACTGGATGAAGATTAAATGAATGAGAAAAATTCCTGTGGATTAAATAAAGAGCTGCATTTGAATGTCTTGGAAAGTTACGTAATGCGATAAACACTACAGACTGGTATGAGAGTACATCTGCCGAAATAATGGTATACAGACGAGAAAACTGCCCGAAGGAATCATTGTATAAAGTTGTCGATAAATTATACCCACAGGAGAATCTTTTCGGTTGATTCCAATCAGAAAGATGAGTTGGACCAGAATAATCGAGATGGCAAGATTTTCATGAATCCGGACACGATCGCTTGTCAGTCTGAAAATAAAAAGAGCAGAAATGTTTAAAATTAATTAATATTTTATTTCTATAAATATATTTTCAGGAAAAAAAATAAAAATAAAATCAGCATTATATCAAATAATAGTAAGTGATCCTATAACGAGAAGTTCGTTTCCAATGACCATAACTTAAATTCTTGATGGAATCTCAGACAGAAAAGGAAGTTAATTTTCAGTGGCAATATTCTCCCAAAATATAGACTGACAGATTGTACTGGACAACCGACTTGACGTGTATTGTGTCGCAGGTGGTGCGCATATGAAACATTTGTAAAACTTTACGAAATCGTTTATAAAATCTACATCCCTTTGAATATCTTGTTCGAAATTTGCTACATAAATATTGTAATGTTCTACATGAAATCTATTTAATTTCTTTTCCATGGATATATGTAGTTACTCAGATATTCACATTTCAAATTGTTTCAGGTTTTGGGGCACACCCTATATATATATATATATATATATATATATATGTGTGTGTGTGTGTGTGTGTGTGTGTGTGTGTGTGTGTGTGTGTTTATGTCTCTTCTCTGTGTGGCTATATGTTTGCGTGTTAAGCGAAATGATGATTTAATATTTATTGAAAAATAAAAATGAAAACAAATGAACAAAAAAAAAAAATCCTTGATAAAATAACATGGTAACCAAGTTCGAATTAATGTTTATGTGGAAGTTTTTTTGTTTATATACAGTAATTCGGACATTGCTATGTGAAAGGACAGGTCTATACCCCTTCCTCTTCCTATAAACCTAGAAGAACTTAAACAGAAAAGCACTGAGGTGGTGGAGAATGTTACGCAAGATATGCTACAACGTGTTTGGCAGGAGCCGGACTACCGTCTTGACGTCTGTCTTCTGACAGCTGGTGCACATATGAAACATTTGTGAAGCTTTGCAAAATTGGTTCTAAAATCTATATTCCTTTGAATATCTTGTTCGGAATTTGCTACATAGATATTGTCATGTACAACATGAAGCCTATTTAATTTCTTTTCCCTGGTATGTGTACTTACTCAGATATTCACAATTTAAATAATGTCATTTTTTTGCACACATACATGAAGCGATTTTTCGTTTATCCCTATTTTTATGGCAGATGTCTGGACTACATTCCTTGGTTCCACCAGCCCAGACCACAGCTACGACCAATCATATCACTCGACTCATGCTCATTCCCTTCATATTCCATTGGTAGGTAGAAAGTTCCACTCAGCTTCTTCTCCAGATGTTGTTTTGTGATAGTAAATGGAAATTTTAGAAAGAAATTGCAATATAGATTCTATATGATGATATATAATATATTATATTTGAACAGAATATTGTGTTTATTTCACAAATATTCTTTGTTAACATATTAACATCAGTTTTATATATTGGCAGAATATCTTATTCTATGTCTTATTTTTATTTACAATCTTATATCTTATATATTTTCTTATTTCTCATAATATTAAAATGTTATGTTTTGATATATTATATTTGCACAGAATATTGCGCTTATTTCATAAATATTCAATTATTTATACAAAACAGAATATTGGAAACAGATATTTATATAATCTTTCTTTCTTCTATGAAGAGTAAATGTTGCTTTGTGTTTCCAGAGAGGATGCCTCCCTACTATAATCTTAACCTCTTCAAGTCTAGGGCTAGGCGTCATCTGTCCTACATATCCAAAAAATATGCATAATATATTACAAAGTGCAGAGACTGGCCCAGAAATACAAACTGCTGGTCAGAAGACACCGAGGTCGGGCAGTTCTGACAGTGATGGAGTGCTTTTGTCTAGATTTTCGATGTAAGATCAAAAAGGCGCGAAGACGGCCGCAAGAACTTAAAGGGACAACACACCTTACGCACCGAGATTCGTTAGTGACTCAAGCCATCACGTGGCGATGCAATCTTGGCCAAGGTCTCCCTCCTACCCACTTTATAGAAGTAATACTACAACTACTATACCTCATATATCAAAGCGAGATAAGAAAAGGACGCTGTTGCACGAGGTTTGACGAACCGATGCCATCTGGCATCGGTTCGTCAAACCTCGTCACGAAGCCTAACGGTTTTCTTCCTCCTTGTACGCCATTACACTAACCTTGAGTGGCTCTTGGGCCATATACTGGACGAAAATAGTAACAGAAAAAAAGAAAATGTAATTGAATATGGCACACAATATTTTGTTATTTATGTAGTTTGTCTTGTACTCGTGGCTTATGGTCAAATAACGCTGAAAACACTGTTGGTCTCTGAAGATAAGCAATTTCAAGACAGGTCAGTATTTAGACGGGGGACCACTTGGGAACACTAATAATGTAAACAATGCGAAATACGTTTCGATTTTAAATAACCCACAAAGAATGATAAAACAAATCAAAATTGATCAATCTCTTCTTGTATGAACAAGGGAACGAATGTTTGGTTCAAGATGGCGGAATTGTCTGTTGTTATCGTGCATTCTCATGTCATTCTTGGGAACATAATATATAGGTATTATATATCAGGTGATGAAAGCAAATGGCGTCATGTTGTGGTTTCTGGTAAGAGAACCATATTCCTTAAGAATCTTATAATAAAAGAGGTAACTGGGGGAAAACAACGAAAGCCGTTCCTTAAATTTCTGATATATTTTGCCCTGTAGCATAAACTGAGAACAAATTCTTCAGTTAGATTTTATTTATTTATTATCATAGATTTTCAAATAGACAAGCCAGGGGGATTTTTTGCTGGTAGGGTTGGAAAGAAAAATCAACCCTGGCTTTCTGAAGTCTCCTATTCCAGGTCTCCTATTACCAAAATAAATGAATAAATAAAAATAAATAACCACATATATTATTAAACATTCAGGAAATTTTTCCCACCATTAATTTAGGGTAGGTACGTTTTCGAAGAAAGCGTTTCATTACTTAAAAATAATAAACATAATAAAATATTCCATATACCACTTTTATTTATTAAAAATTATTAAAACTAATAATATTAATAATTTGTCATATATATATATATATATATATATATATATATATATATAAACCCATACTTAATTCATTGCATAAATAGAATCTACCAAATTCACTTTACCATAAACGACATATATAGCCAGTTATGCCCCTTAATTTTCATTTTTTTTTTCATTTATTCAAAACATAAGCATCAACACGTGGAGATAGAAACAGTTAAAAACTTTTTGAAAAGCTAAGCGAAACCGGTTAAAGTATAAAATGTATAAAAAAAGGAAAACAACCAATTTATTTTTCTAAGAAAAAAAAAACAAAACACTGAAAATCCAATGTAAGTAACAAAGTTTTAATTCTTCTTTGTGTTAAATTTTTATATATTCTAATGTTAATTATGTTTAAATGAAAATGTCCATGAAGATGGTCTTAAATAGACCGAAACGTCCGACGTCGACTTTATATTAACATTAATACAGCATAATTGCATATTAAGATTTTTGTTTGTTTTTTCTGTATTTTTCTTCATATATATATATAAAAATTTTTCTTCATATATAATTAAAAATAATAATAGAATATTCCAACCACAGCTTTAATATTAACCAATCTCTTCTTGGATAGGCCTAGAATTTTCACTACCCTCTCGTATTTGTTACACAAGGCGGTATTTTCATATGCAAAATGTAAACATCCTAAAAGGTGGCAGGATGTCTCTTTCCCGGACACCCTCTACGCACAAAACCACAAGTATTCTCCCATCGCCAAAAGAAATGAATAAATAAAAATAAATAAATAATTAATTAAATCAATAAAATAAAAGGAACAGTTGGATATTTATTTTTCACGAAAGCATGGGCGCTTGAGTGATTCAGTCTGTATTCAAACAAGATCGGCATGTATGCTTACATAAAAGATTCCAATGCCTGCATTTAAATGTTATGTGCAATACAACCAATTTGGTTTTTTTCAAGACTAATTAAATTATACTAATTATTAATATGGATTATTACAGTTTCTTAAGATGATTCTCAGTGTAGATAATTCTCATATTTGGCGCTATACAGTATTCCTAAGCTCCGTTTATCAAACTTTCGAAATATCAACATGCGTAAATATATGACAGTTTATTCCCAACGATCACAGAACAAGATCAAACTTCTTTATGCGTTAAGTTCTAAAATGAATTGGCGATCATGGCTCTCTACAGCTTCATGTATCTTGTTGTAATTTTATTTTTGTTTTCAGGTACATTTTACGTTGGGATAGCCTTTCTAGATCGATAATATAAAGAAGTACCTTCCTGACAAATCGATGGTGAGATTCGAATGCGGGTCTTATAGTTAGAAAAGGAACGTTTTAACAACTTAGACATGCGCCCGTAATAAGAAGTATACAATATAAGTAAATAATTACACACACACAGATACAGACACACACGCGCATACACTCGAATGTGTGTGTGTGTGTGCGTGTGTGTCTGTGTGTGTCTGTGTGTGTTAATCCATTTATCAGTACTCTCGAGAAATCTGATTAAGCATATTTCGCAATATGATACATGGTAATTAACTCCTTTGACAGAAAAAGGAACAAGATTTTTTTTTTCCCAAGAACCAAAGGGCCAACAATGTCATCAGCTCAGTGCAAGGCGTAATGATTTTATCAGCCGAGAGTTTGAAGCCATGTCTAAGCGATGCAACGTGGACAAATACTATAGCTTCCCGCCCATATGTACACACACACACATGCAAACGCACACACACACACATATACACACACAAACACGTACACGCATGCATGCAAAAAGAAAAGAATACATCATTTACATGCGGATATAAATTGACCCAAAAGAACGATTTCACTTTAATTACGGCCTTACAGAGCAGCGTATGTGTATACACAGGTGTACAGGCCCACAAAAAATTATAGACGGTGTAGACGGTGACACATTTTTACAGAAACAAAACAAATGCACGTGTATCAAGACGAAAGCATTACTAGCATGGTAATAATGTTGAAGATT